GAATCTACATCTATCCAGAACACTCATTGCAGGGAACAATCCTGATACTAACTACCCACAGCTCCCACTGAAGTCATGGTCATAGAACCCAGTCCAGAGCTCTTCACCCAGGCAAGGCTCCCACTAACATCAACAGAAATTCTTTCCCCAGCATAACATTCCAGGAGGACCAACAAAATCCTTCACTGAAAAAAGATGCTGGATATCCTTCCCATTTTTTTCTGCCTCTGCACAAGACAGAACTGCCTTCATAATCTTTATAGGATGGAGAGGGAAGGAGTACTCTGAAAGAGAGCGAAGTCATCGCAATGGAGTTCTCTCTTACTTCCTCACCCCACCATAAATATCTGAATATCCTTCTCATATAGATGGCAATGTATATTCCCTGAGCCATGCCTCACAATAAATAAATTCTTGTTGATTTACATCAGTTCACTTCATGGCTTGATCAGTTGTATTACATCCTCCTGAGAGACAGAAAATTCCCACAATTCAAAAGCAGTCTTTTTCTTCTAACACTCACGCAGTTTTAAAGCACATGAATAATAGCCACACCATCAACTGATCTAGTGCACACAGGTCTGCCTTACACACACAGATGTAATGGTGTTCTCTTTACCCGATCTGTGCACACACAGTACATACACTTGTGTGTGGGCAGGCTTAATTTGGACCTTACCCTTTGCCCCCAGTGGGATGTTGAGCATTGAGGTTACAACAATTAACAATGAAAGCCAGGAGAAGTAGGGGGCAGCTGTGCCAGGAGTCACCCAGTACTATGCACCCTACCACAGGGGACATCCCAATACACAAGGTTGCACAGAAAACCATGCATTAGCTGTGAACTGTGCCCTTCTGTGCCACAAACTTGATGTTTCAGTGTCTTCCCTTTAATTTAAAAAAACCATAAGCAGTGTAAGCATATGCTAAGTGATCATTGCAACTCACTGATATGAGAGAAAATGTCTGCATCATAATCCTAAGGCTCACCTCTTTAGTTCCTCCTTCCAGTTGCTCAGTACAGAAAGAGGACAAAGAATAAGAAATGGCCCTTTGTTTATAAAGTTTCCAGCCAAATACACAAGCAGAGAAATGGTCTGGAACACAAAGAAAAGAGTTGTTGTCAATAATAAGCAGTTCCAAACCAAACCCCATAATCTAAATACAAACCTTCCCTCCAACACCATCTTTGCTGCTGGTTCCTGACAGGCTCACTATGGCAAAACCCTGACCATAAGCACTGCAAACTATGGAAAAGAATTCATCAAATGCACTGCAGCTGCAGTCCAATTCTATCACTAATCTGGGAGCACTCTGTCCCCTACTCAGAAATGTTTTTCCCTTGTAACGTTGAAAGAATGCAATGTAGTATATGCTAATTTTAAGTGAGTAATTTGCATAGCACTTAAAATTCAGGGAATACTGTCAGTTGAAGAAACACACCAAGCTCGCTTTGCCAAATTCTTAACAGAAGTGGAATGCTTATTTTGACAAGGAAAAAAAAGGCTATGAAACAGCTATACAAATCTAACCATCTCTGCTCTGAGAACTGAACTTTGTAAAATGATCTACCCAGAGAGTCACGAAAGCAACATCTTATGATTCTAATAGCTAGTTGTTTTGTAAGCTAAGCAGCAGCTTCAAAGCAGTCTTCCCCCTAAGAATATAATTTTGCCTTTTATTTTAAAAAACAAAAGTGTTTTAACTGAGCAAGAGCAGAAGAAATCAAGATTTAGGCCTTTTTCTTCTCAAGGACATCAATATTTGGTCCTAATCTAAATAAACTTTAAGGAATTCCTCTCCTACCTCTTGCAGGAACATTGGGAAGACAAAATATAGGCAAAATTGATTGTCCATGGAGAAATAAAAAGAGGCACCTGACAAGTCTTTCCAAGACCCATCTCATCGCCCAGGATGCAGCCATGTTGATCTTTGTAACATCGTACTAGCCAGTTCACCCCATCCACTTGGTAGGAATGTAGCTGAATACCTAAAACACAAAAGTGACTTGGTAAAGCTACACAAAACTGTCACACAACCTACTTGGCACTGCATCCTGTAATCCTGCAGATGTAGAAACATAGGGCAGATTAGGCCTACCTACCAAGTCAGCTTTCATGCCAAAAAAATATTTTACAGGTGCTTCACAATCTGCATTGTTTGTCAATAAGCTTCCAGGCTGAACAAAAAGTGCCAATTTTAACTTTGAAAGCCCTTAATGATTTGGAACTTGCCTCCCTGGCAAGCTGGACTGCTGTGGGTGAGGTGAGTAAAGGCACCAGTTCCACAACCTCCTAGAAATCAAACAAAAGGAAACTGCTTGGGTGTCATCTTCCTTGATAAGCCCCTTCTTTGGAGGGCCGTGCGCCCTCATGTTGTCAGAACATAGCTTTATCCCTCCTCAGCATGCTGCAAAGTTCAGAATTTCTCTCTCACAGAAGGGGATGGAGTAAAAGCCTTCTGTTAAAAACTGCAGGTGATTTTATTACAAACTGTCCATCTACTTTGAGGATAAAGGATGTTATTGTGGTTAAGGCACAGGACTGGGAGGTAGGATGTGGCCATTATTCCAAATTCTGCGAAATGCTCCCTATGAAATATAGGGCAAAAATCACGGAGGGTTATGTTATCACCATAGTGCAAAGCAGAGCAACCCGACTTGGCTAGTGGTCACTAGGCCTGTGTGAGTAGGCAGCTATTCAATCCGGCTTCGGATCCAGCCGCTTTGGATGCCAGGGATCCGTTCCGGAGCTCCGGACCGGGTTCCCACTTTGATCCGTCTGAAGCTTCAGAGCCGCCTCAGAGATCTGGCCATAGGGTATAACGGGGAATCAATTAAATAGCTATAACTTTGTTGCTTTTTGTCTGAAACTTGCAGGGGTGGTAGCCCCTGCTAAGGCCACAAAGCCTGCCAAGTTTCAAGAAGATCGGTGTAGTGGTGTGGGGGGAACTGCACCCCAAATTCTTGAAAGCAAAACTCATGTCACGTGTATGTGTTACACCACAGGGGGGTGAAAACTGCAGGGGTGGCAGTTGCACAAGCACCCATATCACGAGTTTTGCCTGTCAGCAGCCAGAGGAGCAGGGCCGCAGAACCCCCCTGCACCGATCTCCTCCACAGCTGGCTGCAGTAAAGTCAAGCAGCAGAAGCAATTGGCACTCTATGGATACCAAGGATGGGCAAAATGGTGGACCTGGCCGGTGGCTGGACTTCATTTCCCAGCAGCCCCTGCCCACAAGCCTAGGTCTGTTTTCCATGGGGACCTTAGCAGCCACACTGTGATAGCATGGGGCAGGGGTTTTCATGGAGATCCGCCCCAGCAGTGCTGGCAGGGCACATGGCAAGACATGGAGATGCTTTGCATTCAGGCTGGGATCTTGCAGCCATGGCAGTGTAGTCTGGAGCTGGGGCAGAGTCACAATCTGCAGCCTGTATGCTCTGGGCAGGGGTGTGCACGCAGTGGATCGCAGCTCTAGCCTAGCTCCTTGCAGCGGTCACAGCGTGTGTGCATGTATTTTTTTCTCCTTTCATTAAAATAACCAAAACCCTCTTCCTTCTCCCAGGTTAGGGAAGCCCATCCTTCTCCATATCAAGCTTACAAGGACGGTCAGCAGATAAGTTGATTTTGGAGACCTGTTTCATTTCAGAGGTCTCCCTTTAAACAGACCCACTTACAGCAGCTCAGCTCCAGAGGACCTCCACAGAAACAACCTCTGCTCCCTGTTCCACACAGGCTAAGCAACTGCAGGGAGGTTACAGGACATCTCATGTGGCCGATGAAGCTCCACTGAAGGAATGAAGGTTTTACTCTGGAGCTCCACCCACTACCTGACAGAAGAACCTGGCCCACAAGGTGCATTATGGTTATGTAGGAGAGCAGGGCTAGAAGGGACCTCAAGAGGTCACCTAGTCCAGCCCCTGCTCAAGGCAGGACTGTCAAAGGGGGACGATTCCACGCAGCACCCTGAAGGCGAGGAGGTCAATACTGTCCAACCCTAAAGCCACCGGGCCTGGCCGGCAAGCCCCTGGCAGATCCAGCCCAAGCCACAGCCAAGTTAAGCCCGCAAACAGGCAACCCCTCCTCCGGGGACGCCCCGCCGGCCGCACTGACCTGCCAGGCCCCAGTGGTACAAGTCCTCCTCCTTCAAGGGCGCGCCGCCTGCCCGCCCTTGGGGCTTACTGCAAAGAGCCTGGAAGAAGCGAGACATCCCGCCGGCCGCCTCCCGCTGCCTCGGCCCGGCAGCCCCCTACCCACCCCCGGGGCAGCAGCACCTCCTAGCAGCGCGGGCGCCGGAAGCCGCATTGCAACATTGTATCGAGTTGGCTTCGCAGCGAGGCGCGGATTGGCTGATGGCTTGGAACGCTCCCCCCATAGGCCGGTCGCGCGTCAACTGCCATTGGCTGGCTGGGGGCTGGCGGCGGCTGATTGGGCAGTCGCTGGGACAGTACGAGCTGGCGTTCCAATCCGGGGTGCAAGTCAGTGCCAGCCGCTCGCTCCGGGCGCCGGCAGCGGGCACCAAGCTTGTGGTCCTGGCCTGCGCGAAGTGGGGCCCGCTGCTGCAGCAGCAAACGACCCCAAGGGGCAAGTGTCACCAGAGAAGCACCACAGTCCCTACACCCGCACCCCTTTGCACCTCCTATACCCACACCCGTACACACACACTACACCCCTCCCCCCTACCTATTCCCCTACACCCCCTCGCCCCCGTGCAAGGCTGGGGCACGTGAGGCCCAGCGGGGCAGACCCCCGTAGCCAGGAAGCCGCGTGGCCGGCAATCACCCGGGCAGGGGCAGGGGGCGCCTGGCCGCGGCCTGGAGAGAACAGCCAGTGCTGCATCTGCAGCGGCCCAGGTTCTGCCCTGCCCGCCTCCCCCAGGCCGCAGCAACCCCACGTGCTCCCCCGCCACAAATCCCGGCCCCGCCGCTGCCGCGCCGTCGCAGCCCGGGTCTCTCCCCGCCCCTGCACCCTTGCCCTGCCCGCTGGGACCATGGCGCTTGCGCTGCTGCTGCCGGCGGCGCTGCTGCTCCTGCTCCTCTACCTGGGCTTCGTGCGCTGCTTCACCGTCGCCCCCAGCGCCGTCTTCCAGTGCCGGGAGCGGGCCGGGGCCGCTGGGTCCCAGCCCCCGCGTGACGCAGTGAGTAGGGGAGCCCTAGAGGGTGGGCTGGGAGAGGGGCACCTGTGGGGTCTCCCGGGCTTGGTGCCTTCCCAGCTACAAGCCCTTGTGACTCTTCTCTTCTCCTCTCCTCTCCTCTCCTCTCCTCCCTGCAGTGGGGCCCCCGGCTCTCTGGCCAGCCCCTGCGGCTGCTTGTCCACCTGGCTAACACGGTGAGTACCGCTCTACCCTGTCCGTGCTGCCCGCCTGGTGCCCCCCAGGCAGGGCCCATGCTCTCCTGGGCTTGCTGGGGTAGGTGTTTGGGGGGGGTCCAGCCTACTCCTGTGTGCAGGGCTTAGCCCTGGCCCTGGGCAAAGCCAGTCAGAGCAAGAAAAAACAAACCCTGCGTAAAGGGCAAGGGCCAGGAAGGCAGGCACTGCTGTGTCTCAACCCGTTCCCTGGGCCTGCAGTTGTATGTTTAACCCATCCACATCAAAATGCCCCTGACGCTAAGCAGGTAAGACAGCTTCTGCATCTTCGCTCAGGCTGCTCAAGCAGAGCGTTTGATGTGGGTTAAAAGGACGCCTGTATCCCATGAAGGGAAAGGGTAGAACACCACTCCGGAGGCTTGCTGGTCCGGGATTGTTGCTTGTAAGAAATCAGGGCGTCTTGACGATCCTCCTGCCCCCTGGCACAGTAACATCTCTCTGAGACCAAGGGCCAGCGGTGGGAGGAGGGATGCTGTCCAGGTGCAGCTTCTTGTTAGCAAGCTGTCTCCAAGTTCCCGATAATGTGATTACCCCTATGACCACTACCAACCTGCTATGTTTACCACGGTTGTGCCTACGTGGCCCCTATGTGGCTGGCTTGCCTCAGCCTAGCTGCAGACCTGACCTCATAAGCTGGTCCTTTGCAGTGGCCTAGCCAGGGTAGGCGATGCACTCCAGTAGGGAGTGAAACATACAATTTCTTCTAGTCAAGGTTCACTGTAATCATAATTGCTTTTTTTTGTACATATTTATGCATTGTAATGTGGAGTATATGCTACAGACCAAACTATGTTTGTGTTGGCTGCAGGCAGTCTGTTAGCACTTTGAATACCATTGAAATCCCCTGATTATGCCTCAAGGATTCGCCAGGATTACTTTCTGCATGTGACTTTATCTAAATAGCTGCATTTTCTTGTGATCTGCTGTTTGTTTATAGAACACCAAGTGCTTCTTGTACAAAGATATTGTGTTTGGGCTTCCAGCACTGCAAGCATGGTTTTTAATCTCCCTCTACCTCCCTAACTTTTATTGAAATAAATAAAAATGACTACATGGGGGGGGAGAAAAAAACCTCTCAAGATTATATAAAGTCTTGCATCTCCTATTTTATTTTTTTATATCTATTGTGTAAAGTCTGTTTTGCAGGTATGCAAATTTGGCTTGAACAAAAGGCTGGAGCCCATGGGGGTGGTAGCCTCCAGGTCTCAGGTGTTGAATTTTGCTGCTTTTTTGTTAACTTCATTTTTTTTCATTTCAAAACGGCTGATTATGATATCTTCATTGTTTTAGGGATACAGGTTTTAGCTGTGTTGATTTTACAGGCAAAAGCAGTCGGAACTCTTGGTAGAGGTAATATCTTTTATTAGACCAAGTAGATGGCTTTACAAAAAAGCAAAATTTAGCCTAGTTGATCTAATGAAAGATATTGCCTCTACCAAGATTTCTGACTGGTTTTGACTGTAGATCAACATGGCTAAAACCTGTATCCCTGAATGAATATAATCCATATGTTGGCTTTGTGTGCGCGGCTGCTGAAGGCTCCAATAACAAGAACAGCCTAACTAATCTGCTGCCTGGGGAACAATCTTCTCACCTGATCTAGCTTTAATGGTACAGATGTTGGCATGTAAACAAGGCAGCAAACAGCGTTTGCAAAAGGCAGGCAGAATGGCCCCTTATTAGACAGCATCTGACAAAGCAGGCTGTTGCCTCTGAAAGCAGGACAGACGCAACCAACTCTCTCTCCTTCTAGCTTGCAGAAGAATGTTAAACAGCTCAGTTAAGCAAGGCTGGCAGGTGAAAGAGTTGGGTTTTTGTTTGTTTTGTTTTTTGGAATAAAGCCAAAGCTACCCCTTTACTTGTTCAGGGGACATGGCAATAAAAAATTCAGTGTCTGATCAGTTCTAGTGGGATGTTATAATGAAAAGCTGTTGATCCAAGCATTCTCTAGGGCCCGGTAAAAAGAAATGCTTGTTTCCCACGTGTTCTGACATCTGCAGGGAAAGTCTGGAAGTGAAGCCAAGTATAATGGGCAGAAAAGAATCCTGACAGTTAAGCTAGTTTTGACTCTGTTCCCAACCAAGAAACCTAAAGATCTCTGTCCAAAGACTAAACACTTGCTTCACCAGTTAAGCTGTTCTGGAACATTGATTTATTCCTGCTCTTCTAGTTGTTTCTCCCTCTGAAGTTGGCACAGCCATGGAATTCTCACACGGTGGAGTGCTGACAAACATGAGTTATTTGAGCCACAGTATGAGGTGATTTTGGTATGGGACTCAATGGAAATGTCCCATGATGATTATTTCAAAACAAATTTCTTGCAGAATGTCTTATCATTATCTTGCTAAGACATTTTGCCCATGTTGCCACATGTAAAGAACAGGTAGTTTGGGAACTGGCTTCATTCACAACTTAATTTTGTGCATTGACCCTGAGTTTAACAACTGCAGAAGTTAATCAGCTACAGGTTTTGTTAGTGGTGCTGTGGGGAAGCCTCATGATGTATAGTACTGTGGCTAAAGCAGGTGATGTGGGAGCTAGGATTCCTCATTTCCTCTAGCTTTGCCACTCTTGTGTCATGTCCCTTTTTTGTACCTCAGTTTCCCGTTTTTTAAAATGCAGGGGAGTGAAAATGTTTCCAAACCTCATGGTGATCTCTCTCTATCCATATTCATGTTGGTAAAATGTGTTGAGATCTCAGAAGCTGTTATAAGTGTAAACCTAATAATCTGCTCTAGCTATTTATTTCTACCTGCTAAATGCAGGTATTAGAGAAGTGTATAGGAAATTGTAGCAAATAATAATGGTTCTTTTTTTTTTTTTTCCCCCCCTCACCTTCCTCCCCACCCCACAATGTCTTCCTGTGCTTTTAAGCAGTCTTGCATTTTTAATATAGAAAACAACTGATATCTATAACCTTTAACACTGACACATTAGCAAGAGCGTAAAGACAAATTTGAGTGCCTTGGTAAGCCACATTGAGATGTGTAGGGGTGTGTATTTGCAGTGGTACAGATTTGTGCCACTACTTTTTGTCTCTGCACATGCCCTGTATAGGCATGTCCAGACAAGGGGGAGCACTTGTTTCTCTGGGGACAAGGAATACCCATGCCATACGCACTCTGGCGCGTGGTAGGTTATCCTAGGTGGGGCAGGGGAGGCTGGGGCCAACAGTTGTGCTAGCCCCAGTAGCTTTTCCTGGAGGCTTCCTGGGGCTGTCACCTTGGCAGAAAGCCTGGGTGGCAGCTGGAGCATAGCTCCTGCCAGCCAGGCTCTGGTTTTGGGTGGCATGCGTTGCTGCCACATGTACCCACCCCGTTTTGAGGGTTTTCTTGCCTGGGAATCTCCCAGTGTCAACCCCGCCCTGTTCTCCCTCATACTGCAAAGTAAAAAAATGAGGAACACCTGCATGTGCGGCTCCACATGTCTGTGCTTGTCTGGACGTGGCCTATGTGTGCTTTGTTATGGGACATATTGTCCTGCTTTGGGCAAACTGCCCGAATCCAGCCCTTCCTGGCTCCTGGCATGCTGGAGCAGCAGGGTCGCAAATGGGGTAGTAGAGATGCTCTGGCCAGCTGTCAGAGTGCCTCGCTGGAGGATCAAGCCTCTGTTCTGGCACAGTATTTTTCCATCCTCTGCACTTTTTTTTTCCTGGTACCTTTTTTTTTTTTTTTTTTTGCTATCTGGAAATCCTGGTAGCAATTTTTGCCCCCACCCTGCAAATTTGCAGCATTGGTCCCACTTTAATATTCCAAATGTTTGGTTTGTGGAGCCACAAACTGCACGTGCCTGCATGTCTGGACATGGCCCTACTGAGCTGATCGGATTGAGAAGGAGGCCAGTTTCACTGGTTTAATAGGGTAAAAGTGTCAGTGGCATTGAGGGGAAACTGCTTGCATATGGAATATGCTAACATTTTTTTTTCGTCCAGAATTTGCATGTTCTGCTCAAAGCTGCAGATTTTATTTTTTGGGGTGGAATCTATAGATGTCTTATGGATAACTTAACATTGTTATCTGGGACTGCATGCTTCTGAGTGATGGGGCAATGTGAGGGTGTTAGCACTGAAGTATTTTTAGTGGAGAGCCTAAAGAAACGCATGAGAAATTCTCACGACCTAGTAAACGGGTTCAGATTTGATAGTGCTAAGCACTGACTTGCTTCTTGATGTTGTATAAATGAGATTCTTGTCTCTCTTTTTAAATTTAATGTTGTAGTAGAATCAAAGCTAAAATAAAACAGTGTCCCTACTGTCTCTTGCTGTGGGAGATTATGAAATTGGAGTAGGCGTGAGCTTGGCCAGTATTCCCAGAGTTGGAGAAAGGAGGTATGGTAGTTGTATATTGTTTTGCCTGTTTAATCTCCTCTGTCTTCTTCTCCAGGCTTTCGGGCAGTTCTGTTTAGTACCGTTTTTAATGAGGTAAGAATTTTCTATATCTACACTACATGCTTTGCATTGCCTAACAAATCTGGGTTATCTGGAATAACTTCTTTAGAGGGAGAGGCTGTATAATTAGGGACATTTAACGGAGAGACTAGCGTTGAGTTGCCCAGATCCGCTAAGCATGTACTGGCTCTGTGAATTGCTCTGACCATCGCACTGCCAGGGAGGGTTTAACCCTTTTTTTTCATAGTCCATTTGGAGTATGGAAACTTCACCTGGCTGCTTCTGTGCCTTCTGCATACATTTTTGTGAAACAGTAAGGCTTCTCTTGAAGATGTGGGGTATACAGACCCAGTGTTCTAGGTCGGTGTTAGTGGGGGGAGCCAGGAAGTTGGATGAAGAGTTGGGGGTTAAAAGCCTACTTCTTGCTCAGGAGTTCGGGTTCATTGTCTTTGGTTTGGTCTGTACCTAATCTCCTAACTGACTCCTTGGGGTCTGCAGTCTTGAAGGACCCTGTAACTACATGCAGTTTGCTTTAAAGAGATGCAGTTAACAGGCTCACAATCCAGCTCTCTTATACTGCTTGTAATGGGATGAGCAACATCTCTGCAGATCCCAGTACATTTTAAAAATCATTGTCATAGTACCGAAGTCTTCAGTTGATAAATATTCCCCCACGGGACAAAATTAACACAGTCAAAGGTTGCTACCACTTTCGCTTCCTCTCTGCACTGCCTGTCTATCTCTGTGGGCATGGACAACTGCTAGTGTCTCCTCCCTTTTTGTTAGCTTCCTGGCTCTGATCTTTCCAGACCATTCTACTGATTGTTTCTGTTCTCACTTTTAGTTTGGCGGGTACTGTGACACAAATGCTAACCATGATTAAGTCTTCAGGTGTCACAGTAATAACATGAAGGCTTCTGTTTGGGGGACGTTGGAGTGTTTGGAAGCTACCTAGTCAGAATAAAGAGGAAAAAACCCAACAAACCTGAGGTGCACAGATGTTATGAAACAGCATTGCTGCTTGGAGCAAGGACTGATGTTTTGTCACTGGCAGGAGTGGCATCACACATCATAAGGTTTTGGGATCAGTGAGATGCTCCTTGTAGCATCAGGCAGGCCTCTTTGCTTATCAGCAAAGTAAACATAGCTTGTCTGGGGTGATCTTGGCTATGTAAAGAAGCTGGATAGATGTATAGGAGTGAGTATGCTGTCCAGAAGAGAAAAGGCAGTACACCTAGAATAAGAGCCTTTGGCAGATACTGAAGCATCTCAAGAAAAACCCTCTCAAACTGGTGATAAGCTTTAGTCTTTGGTCATGAGTAGTTTTTTCTCAAGGCCTTGGTTTTTCATGGCAGGTCTCTTGTTCATGCTTAGTCTCGGGCATGACATGTGGAGCCCCAGGTAGAGAAATGCTGTTTGCCCCTGATGTGCTGTCTCTAACATCCCAATTTTTAGCCACCCATGTGTCTCCTTTCAATGCTTGTCTTGCGGTCTGATTTTTTTAAATACTTGTTTGAAGTTTGGTGGGATAGACCATATTATCTGCTAAAGGAACAAACTCCACATTGCTTTAAGGTGCTTGTCCTTTTTTTTTTTCCTTTTTCAGAGGAAATCTTGGCTTTTCTGAAGCCAGTGGTAAAACTTTCTGTGGCACCAATGGGGCCCAGACCCCTGTGTCAAAATGTGTTTGCAGGATGCCAGCTAAACACTTGTATGCTAGGAAATGGGAATCTTTGATAAACATATGCTGGGGTCACTAGGATTCCAGCTTCTAGGAATGGAAAGAGACACAGAATTGCTCTGTAATATTCTACAGTGTGGGGAGAAGCAGACTATTAA